TATACAAAGCAGGATCTATTTTCCAACTTTACTCCTTGACTCTGGAGTTTGATGCTGTATACACTGATCTGGGTAAATTATATCCCCTCCCCATTATGCTGAAGCCCTAATTCCCAGTAGCTAAGACTATATGAAAATAGGGCCTTCAAAGAGGTTACTAGGTTAAAGGGAGGCCATTAAGGAGGTCATTTATTTAATATGATAGGTGTCTTTTGAAAGAGAAAATTTAGGTACACAGAGACCCCCAAGAATACATACCCAGAGAAGGATGTTCAGAGATCTATCATCTTAAAGCCAAGGAAAGGTACAAAGTAAATTAAAGAATCAGGCTCTTTGATCTCGGACTTCTATCCTCTGGAACTAGGAGAGGTAAATTTCTGTTATTTAAAGTATTCAGCCTCTGGTATTTTGTTTTAGCATCTCTGGCAAACTAATACAACGTTCTTCTCTGCATTGCAAATTTCTTCTGGTTTCCTTCTAAGAGCACAATATTCTTTTTCTAATTACAGCTCATTTAGAACTCATTCAGAGTAGAATGGACAGAGAGGGAAACACTTCCCTGGGTTCTCTTATGGCTGGCTATATATATGACTACTGACATTTTGAATGTTTTGTTCAGGGGTCTACAGTCTTTGTTTCTTTGGTTCCAGTGGAGATGATTGAAGAAGAGAATCCATTCAGAGCCTGCAGTTCTGGTTCTCAAAAAATAAATACATCACGTATCATCCAACCGTAAATAGACGTGCACATGCTCATGCTCCCGGTGATTCATTTTCTGGAGAATAAGTCTACAGATATATTCAAGTTACCAAATATGTTTATGAGCATAAGAATGTTAATATCTAGCATCCAATTATATCTGAAATATGATTGAATTTCAAATATATGATTTACATGCAATTTTAGAAAAATATTATGTAAAGTGATAGCAGAATGTTTAGCATCAATAAATGTAAAATTATATCGCACTAGCTTGCTTCATTTAAAAAAATCTCTTATTTAATTTGCCATGGGAAAAGAAACTAAAGTAAACTGTCTGTAAAAATCTTAATTCCTTCTCATACTAATCTAGTCTCAAGTCAGGAGATCATAAAATTGTACTGGTTGTTCTTCTGGGACGTATTACACTGGAGTACCAGCATCCTGTGTCACTCCACGCTTAGCTCAGACATGTAGATGTCCTGGCACACGTGAGTACTGCTGCTCCCCGGGCTTTTCCTCACCAGTTTTCTTCACCACTTCCTTGTCCCAGCGTTCAAGAAACAACAAGGATTAGGAGATAATAATATCGGGGCTGCCTCTAGTCCTCCCCTCACTCAGGAAATTCTTTCTCCTACCTTTCCTCCTAGTCTGGCCCACCACTCCTGTTCGTGTGATTGCTGTGACCATCACTGTGGAATGGTCACCTGGCTGCCATCCTTGTCTGTGGTTGACTGAGCGAGGGTTTGGTAACTGGAACAACCATATTATTTGCAATTGATTCATAAATTGTCAATTTCAAGAGTTATTAGTAACCATGAAAAAATGCACATTAAGCAGAAGAGAAAGTGGATGTCTGTGGGGAAATAGAAGAGGGAAAGAGGGAAAGCAGGAAGTCAGTTGTATGGTGGAGAGAAAGGAAGAAAGCCCCAATGGCGCATCTCTGTTTTCATTTTTCTCCAGCCATGAGCTTCAGTCCTGTTCTTGGGTTCCCTGAGACAGCCAACTGCTTTCACAATAATTTAAACCCTATAAGGCATAAAATTAAATGAGGTTTTAACCTTTAAAAAAGATCATTTCATTATTTAGTTTCATACAGAAAAATTGATTTTTAATGCAGTTGACATTAAGATGTTTGCACATGCGTTTCTAATCTCTAAATACCTGATCATTACTAGTCACAGTTGGTTACTTTCTGAGCTCCTTGGCATCTGAGCATGGATATAAAGTCATCAGGTAGATTTCAATGGTAATGTGTTTCACATCTACTAATTATTAAGGAGCAAATTTTTATGCTTTGAAGAATTTTTTAAAAATTTATTTACACACCCACTTCCCAGGTAGCACCCACCCATAGCCCCCCTCCCCCCCACTAGAGCCCTTATACTCTGATATCCCTGCTGCTGTCTGCTGTGTTGTCAGCACCCCCAGCCATTCCCCACTACTTGCCCTTCTGGTGAATCTAGTCAGCCTATCTAGAGGTCTTTGTTTTAGGAGGGTCAGCTGTTCGTCATCTAGCGGTAATCAGTTGTCAATATTCCTTTGGATAAGATTGGGGTCTGCTGTTCAATTTCCCAGTTCTATGCTGGGTTACTATCTGGAAATCCCTTTGGCTACCCTGGCCAACGACTCATATCCTTTTAAGTTAAACACCCATATACACACTGCACAATGAGATGATCTAAATATATGAATAACTGAATTTAATTTGCAATGTTAGCTTTTTACAAACTGAGTGGCAACAAAGACTTGCTTTGCAAAGTATCACTGACATAAATGAACAGATACGGTTAAGGAAAAACCCAGTGCTACACATAGTACAGTATTTTAGAAGATACTTTGAATATTGAAGACTCATAAAGTATAGATGCCCACAGATTGCATCAATCTCACCTGAAATAAAACTCTCTTAGAATAACAAACCCATATATAGAAAGCATGCCAGCCACTTCATTGCAAAGGAGGGGTGAATCCAGCCTTAAAGACCCTGGCTTCATTTTATTACTTTAGATGGCAAGCTAACTCCTGGGAATCACCTTTGACTTTTGGCCTTACAAAGATATTTCAAAAGGAAATGAGAAAATATTTTGTCCTTCCTTGGCAAATGAAGTTATGTTTCAGGGGCACAAGTGTCTGAAAGTTCAAGGTTTGTAAAAGTAGAGGCTGAATGAGTTTAATAAACTGTAGAAGCATCTGAATCTTCCAGGCTTATTCAAGGAAAATGCTGCCAAATAACTAAAAAGTAAATATCAGGCTGATGGAGTCTTTTAAAATGCCATTCTCTCTCTCTCTCTCTCTCTCTCTCTCTCTCTTCCCTCCCCCTCATTTAAATTTCCTGGATTTTATGTATATTATATATATAATATTATGTATGTGACATACTTTCCTGCAATCCTGTAAAAGGGCTTGATCAGCATGATGCACGTCTCCATTTTAATTATACTAGTGTTTATTGGGTATCTAACTTTAGGAATGGGTGTCCAGAGTTAGTAACTCTATTTTACTGCCCTGTATTTCAAAGGAAGCAGCTTACTATTTGTGATTCTATTATAGTCTTTCTCAGAGTTTTCCCAGAGGTTCTCTTCTGTTGGAGACCTCAGTTCATTTAGGGCTCATTCTTTGAAGTTAGAGGGCAGATATATTAATCTTCAGGACCCCATTGCTTTTGTGTTCTTCCACTATGGTTATGCTTTGCAAAAGGCTGAACTATTGCCAGTGGCAGAGCCATGCCACCTTTCCAGCAGATCTGATGAGCAGAAGTATCCATTACTTGCAACTGGGTGTGTTCTAGGTGCACAATCAGCTGCTTCAGGGTGACTCACAAGCTGACAGGGTCTAATGGACAGTGGGTCCTCTTGCATCCACTTCTTCCCGAGTTCCATGAGAACCTGTGATGGGTGAGCAGAGCAGAAATGACTTGCAGAGAAGGGAGAGGAAGGCTGTAGGGAAGAGGGAGACAAGGAGCCAACTGCAGTTTCTGGCCATCAGTGTTTACGATAAAATTCATCCTTTAGCGGTTTGTTGGAACTCAGTATGTTGAGCATTCTCCAAGCTTTAGGAGCAGAGAGGTCAAACGAAATATTTTAAAACAAAAACAAAACCCCTCAAACCACCCAAGCCCTGCCTTCATCACAAAGATGCTAACCTAGTGGCAGTCAAATCCTTGGGAAGTCACACAGGCACTGACAGCTGGGGTGACAGCTGGGGGCAGAGACAGTGTCCCATTTTGTGAAACTGTTAAGCACTGCCTTAACCCAAATTGATCTCACCATCCCGACTTTGCGATTCCAGACGGTCGCACGACAAACGTCACACTTGTGTGCAAATATTCACACTTTATTTAAAATGCCAGTTTAAAGGACTGAAAGGAAGAAAAGGGCCTGGGGTGCCTTTGAGGGCCAGCCGCGGGCACTCTTCACCTCTGAGCAGCGTTGTCAAAACCTCTCCAAGAGAACCGCCAGGTGGCACCTGTAAGGCGCAGATGGGGAAGAGACGTTTGCCGCACCTCCACAGCCGGGACTAACAGGCTACGTGCCTCGCCTCCTGGGCTTATTGGGAGGAAGTGGGGGAATTTTACTCTCTTTCCAGACTGCGTGACTGCACACCCCAATTTCCTGACACCCCAAACACACGAAGGGCGGATTTGTCCCCATGCAACCAGACTGTCAAAGACGTGCCGCACACTGGTTGGAAGCGACTTGGGGACTATCTGTAGGTGGCTGCGGGCTGCTCTCTGTGGTCAGGTCTCCCCAGGTCAAGGAGAGATAGTGACAAAAGAGTGCAGACGGGTCCCAGGACTATGATACACAAGTCCCCTGAGCATGGAACATCGATTCACGTCCGCCCCCGCCCCCCAACACGTAATCCGTAGCTTGGGTACAGTCAGTGGAGACTAGGTTTGGTCACCTTCTCGGACCGTTTGCATTTTTTCCTCTGTGGCTTCTCCTGTCCCTGTCACTTTGTGGGGTCCCGAGCCACCCCTTCCCATCGCATCAGGGATCCCACATCCCAGGGTGGATAGCTATCCCCACCAGCATGGGGTCTAGAAACGAGGTGCCAGTAAACAGAAGCACTGTGTTTTGGTTGGTCATTTCGAGGTGTGCTGTGCGGCGGGCCACCAACTCCATCAGTGGCGGGGAGGCAAGCTAAGCCAGTTGCGCTGCGCGACTGTCGCCGCCTCTCTTTGGAGGCTGGTTGGTGACATTGGGAGGAGACCGCTGGAGAGGGCCATCAAGGAGGAGGAAGAGGGGCAGGGCGGGTGGGGGTGGGGACGCGGTGATGATGCCAGGGGGCGTACGAGGCCCAGGCAGAAGAGCAACTTCTGCTGGACGTGCGTAGCGGGGTGACTGGCAGAGAGGCAGAGGCCAGCCTGGGAGCCCCAGAGCTGCGCGAACTCGGGAGCAGCAGCCCGCGTCCTGCGCCGCCGGCTCTCATCCTCCCGGGTTCTCAGCCCCGGGTGCTGAGGCTCGCCTCTATAAATAGCAGGTTACAGCTCCTGCTCCGCGCGCACACGCTCCATCTGGGGAAAGCAGGAAAGTCAGCGGAAAAGTGTCTGTGGCTGCTGTTGCCCCCTACTCAGCCTCCTGGAGAGGTAAAGACCTGCCTTGGATTTCCGGGCTGGGGAGGGAATTTTGCGGGGTGTGGTGGGTGAGGCTGTGTGAATCTGGAGATGATCCGGCGCATCTCAGAGCCCTGGGGCGGAGGGGGGTGGGCACGTCCTGCCTGTGTGTATGGGGGGCGGGGGGTAGCTTGTGTTGTTTCGAAGCAAGTTTCCCAGCTGGCAGAGGTGATCGCCCCTCCATCCGCACCTTAGGGAGAGGGTGGCGCTGGGGGTACGCCTGTGCCCCCACTCACTGTCTGGCGGAGGTCTCAGGGGCCTGGCGCGCTTACACACACACACACACACACGCACACACGCGCGCGCGCGCGCACACACACACACACGCACACACGCACACTCGCACACTCACATTCTCCGCGCCCCAGGGTAACTCTGATCTCTAATTTAGCTGACCCGTACACCAAGGCTTCGTACACCTGAGCGGTCCTTGCGGGATGCTGTGGTGCTTGGGGGAGAGCTCCTTCTCACCCCTACTCCTAAACGCAGACTGCCTCCTGCCTCGGAGGAAGTCATTCTTAAGGCGTGGAAGGGGTGGTCGGTGGTGACGGTGGTCGTTGCTGGGGTCCCAGTTGCCCCATTTCCTGGTATTTCGTGAAGAGCTCCTCTCCATAACCACTTCCAGCTCCACCCTCAGCAACTCCTCTGGCAGGAAAGGAAAAAAAAAAAAAAAAAAAAAAAAAAAAAAAAAGCTAGGCGTGTTCCCTATGGCTACCTCAAGGCATCTCTTGCCCTAGCTACCCCCAAAAGGTCTCCTGAAGTAGTTACAAAGCTATGGCCTTAGAGCAAAGCAAGTCTGTGCGAGGTTATTATCTCGAGTCTGAGAACTGCACTGCAGGCTCTCTTTGAGCTCCTCTAGCCCCTCTGGCACCGCCAGGAGTCGGAGCCTGGCCAGAAGCCTGCTTCTTGAATGGACTTTGAGGCCTTAGCCAGTTCTAAGATGATGTTAGAGCTACGAACACCTGTGTCTGCCCCCTCCCTGGGCCTTTGATTTAGACTTCCTTTGGGGCAGCAGTTTCTGCTCCTGAGGACAAGCAGCAGTCTCTGTTTGGGGGCAGAGGTTTATAAAGTGAGGATATACATATTGATGAGGTTGTTGCTGCTGAACAAAACTTACAGGGAAAACGCAGTGGAGAGAGACCCAGCAGTTTCACTTTGGGGTCAGGAGATTTCTTAAAGGTGAGGATGCTCGTTTTGATGAGGTTGTTAAAGCTGCCCAAACTTACTGGGGAAACCGGTAGGATGTCCTATCACTCTTGTTTTTAAGATGTAGAATGATGCCTTTATTTTATAATTTTCTTTCTCTGCCTTGTTTCTTAAATGCTATCCAAGGCCATTACTTCGGTGTGACATGTTTGCTTACCTCTTTTTTTCTCAGTGTGAAAGAATTTGTTCATAAAGGTATGGAATACATAAAAGTGTAGAAGATAGGGATTCATTCACCTCCTCTCTCTTATAGTGGGCACTAGATGGCCTTTTTTATAGATGTACAACTACCTTTAGAAGACCTTGTTTGTGGCAGAAATTTTCTTAATGAGTTCTGGAATCAGAAGTGGTATCAGTCTGATTCAAGAACCACCAACAGAGTAACCAGCTGATGATGTGTCAGATGTAGAGTGAAGAGAGACCTGGGCAAGGGGGAATAATCAGCTGACTCAGTGCTGGAGGAAGTACATTATCTCATGTTCTTTGGGATATATTCCAGGAAAACATCGATACAAAATCACAGTAAGTGATCAATGGCTCTGTGAACAGTACACAGGCCTTAAAATAACCTGTTGGGTTTGTAATAATTTAAAACACTTCTGCAAAAAAATAGATTTCTTTCAAATGTGGCTTAAAAGATTGCCCTTGAAAGGTTATGAAATGTTCATGTGAAGAGAGGCTAGAGGCAGTGTCATTAGGAAGCATACTTCCTGATTGAAATCTATTCTTGTTTTAATCAATATTCTCATTGATTAAGTAAACTGGAATTTGTGAAAAACTATTGGCCAGTTACTGTGTTTAGAACAGTGCTTTGTTTTTGACTCTGAGAAACAACCAGATGTGAGAACAACCAGATGTACCTAGTTTAGTCCCTTAAAGTCTAGTTAGGAAACACTCTTGGGATATCGGCTTCAGCTTCACTTCGGGGATGCAAATTGATAGAATGACTTTCTTATACTATTATTTTGTCAAAATACTAAATGACTCTAATATTATAGACTCATCAGTCAACTTTGATTATAAGACAATGCAATTACATTTTAGTTTCATGAAATGGAAAGTAAAATTAGACTTGGAGAGAAGGCAAATATTTGCTCTAAGTTGTGCAAATTGAAAGTTTATTCATTTCTCTTCTGAAACCTTGCAGGATCTTCTAGTACAAGTATGCTAAATCCCCAGATGGGTAACAGTTAGTTAACTTTCAGTACCCTTGGATAACAGTTAACTTTCACTACCTTCAGGCAAAATCTAAGAATGCAATTCTGTGAAAGACATAAACAGTTGCAAATTGATCTTATATCTCTTAGCAACCAAGTTGATGTCAATTTCCAGGCAAGCATCTGACATCTGAAAATGCAAAATTAAAAAGACTGGAGTTATAGTTAGCTAGAAAAATGCTTGCTGAATATCTGTTACATTTTCTTTTTTCACACTAAGCAATGTCCAGTGATACTAATATTTAGGTATACAAGAAACATATGTTTTATAATCTGCATGGAAAAAAACTTTTGTCATTCCCATAGAGCTTTAATAGATAGGCATGCCCCATTTAAACAGTTTGTCTAAGTATTCAAAGTCTGTATTAGCCTTCTGTATTCTGTTCCTTATGCTTTCAACATGACTAATCTGTTCTCTAAAGCCCCAAGGAACATACTTCAAAGGCCATGTTATTACTGTTTTGTTTAAACACTGCATTAGAAATCTCTAATCACAAATCTCCTTAGAATACACATATTGTACTCATTTTATATGTACTTTAATATTTAGACTTAGAAATGGTGCAATTCAATAAATAATTTCAGCATAAACATTTATTTGTAGATGAATCCAAATGATGCTACAATTGAAATTTTGCATGTGAAATGCATGTCATATCCGAGCTTCCAAACTTCATATGTAGCATATACCTAGAAAGTATATGTAGATAGTGGTAGAATATTAAGGAAGCTTTCTGGGTCTCAGGCATAGCTGTCATTTGAATCAAGATGTCTTAAGCCTATTCTTTTTATGCATTTCACTATCATGTAGATTAATAAAAGCATTTAAAATGGCCATGGAGCTTTCTGGACTCTGACCAATTTGAAAGACTTCCTTCCTTTTTTAATACAAGGCACTATGGTATCCTCTATCTTCTACCCTAGAAGTGCTTCATTATAGACACTGTACATAAGGCCTGTGGAATATGATTGCAGAGCTTTGAATTCACATTCTTTTCAGTTGACTGCAATTTTACTGAACCTTGACTATCATTATGGATGTGAGCTCAGAAATCATGTATTCTCAACTTGTTTTCTTGAGTTGCAGTATTTGGAGTGAATTCTGTTTTCTACATTATACAGCCATCCCAACTAGGTGTCCTGATCATGTGTTGGAGGCAATTTAGAAAGCCTTGAATGCAGTTAAGTGAGCAAAGAAAATTAAACTAAGAGAAATCCCATTTTTCCAAATTATATAGCTTTGATTGGATTTCCTTTGAGAATTATTATCTTTAAATCACTTTATTGTAATGAACTCTCAAATAAAAACATCACATGGCTAGATTAAGGTACCCATTTCCTATTTTGTTTGATTTTTGTCTTTGCTCCTTCTACATATAAATTCCCAAGTTTTTACCTCTTGAATGTATCACACACTTCTTAGAAATATCCTTCATGATACTTAACTTTCCCCCTAATATGTCTGTTGATATTATTGACTCCACTTGTCTTCCATTTTTTGAAATTTGATCTTCTTCATGGCCTTCTCTGTGAAATATGATACTTGATATTTTCTATTTTGGCCACCTCCTTCAAATATTTGATTCTTTTTAAATGTTTCAATACCTTGCTGAGTTTGTCTTTTGAATTTTGGCTGTTCACCTTTAATTTACTGTTTCACTCACTTTATAGGCTGTTGAGGTTTTGGATAGATTTCCTTAATACGTGTAAATATTTGGTGCTCTCTGGTCCTGCCAAAGTCTGAGACCTACTTCTGAGGTGCTCTCTGGGACTTCCATCTACCTACTTAAGAATCATCTCGCTACCTACCTATAAATCATCTACATAACTACTTATCATCTACTTTATCCACGCATCCATCCATCCATCCGTCCGTCCATCTGTCCGTCCGTCCATCCATCCATCCATCCATCCATTGTCTTTCTATTATCACTTTATCTTCTGATTATGAAAATAATGCGACAGGCTTAACAGTGAAATTACTCAGTGCTTTCTCTGGTATCTTCCAAAGTTATGAAAGTTTGTAGGGCACACAGGCCGCATTAATTGCTATGCTGATATTGAATGGTTGAAGTGGCAATAGTAATGATAAACACCTTCCAAGATATAAAAGAAAATGGAATTTTAAAAATTTCTATCAACAGTTTATACCATTTATGTGTTAGTATAGAGTATTGCTAAAAGAGAACTTGAGATTTTTGGTTCTCAAAAGTGAGTGTCAGTTTTAAAAGTTTAGACAGTTCTGATTTAAAGAGAAACCTCTTAGAAATTTTCACTATGAAAAATGTATTAAAAAGCTAGAGCTGTATCTCAGATATAGAACAACTGTGAGATTCTGGGTTCAATCCCCACAACACTACAATAGACAAATGAAGAAATTCCAAATGATAACAACAAAAACCAAATACCCCTCTTCCAGCTATCTGAAAGGCTTTTGAGTTAGAGATACAGAACAATGGTAGAATGCTTACCGTGTATGAGTGAGACCCCGAGTTCACTCCCCAACACCACAAAACTACCCACCCACCTACCTACCTACCTACCTACCTA